GTGGTTGACGACTACTCGCGTTACACCACAGTCTTCCCCTTGCGCAGCAAGGGTGAGGTCACTGCGGTGTTGATCGACTGGATCCGCGCAGCTCGTCTCCAGCTTCGGAGGAGCTTTGGCTCTGACTTCCCTGTTTTGCGTCTGCACTCGGACAGAGGCGGAGAGTTCTCCTCTGGCCTCCTGAGTGCCTACTGTCGTGCGCGAGGCATCCGTCAGACCTTCACGCTTCCGGACTCACCGCAGCAGAATGGGATTGCTGAGCGCCGCATTGGCATGGTCATGGACGTCGCTCGTACGTCCATGATGCATGCGGCTGCTCCCCATTTTCTGTGGCCGTTTGCGGTCAGGTATGCTGCGCACCAGATCAACCTCCACCCCAGGGTCTCTCGACCGGAGACCTCCCCAGCCCTGCTGTGGACGGGGACGGTTGGCGATGCGTCGGCGTTCCGGGTCTGGGGATCTCGGGCGTTTGTTCGCGACCTGTCTGCGGACAAGCTATCCCCTCGTGCTTCTCCCTGCGTCTTCCTGGGGTTCCCCCCCGACGCCCCTGGGTGGCAGTTTTACCACCCCACCTCTCGACGTGTTCTGTCCTCCCAGGACGTCACGTTCGACGAGTCGGTACCCTACTACCGCCTCTTCCCCTACCGCACTCCGTCCCTCCCCCCACCCCCGCTCTTCTTGGTACCAGGTCCCCCCCCGGTAGTCCCCCTCCCCCCTCAGGGTCCTGCCCCTTCAGGTGTGTCCCAGGTAGACGCGGTCGAGCCTGTCGAGGTCACTGGTGACTCTGGTGCTGCTGCGGGAGCTGAGCCTGGGGGTGCGGAGTCTGGGGGTGCTGAGCCTGGAGGTGCCGAGTCTGGGGGTGCTGAGCCTGGGGGTGCTGAGCCTGGGGGTGCTGTGCCTGGGGGTGCTGAGTCTGGAGGTGCCGAGTCTGGGGGTGCTGTGCCTGGGGGTGCTGAGCCTGGGGGTGCTGAGCCTGGGGTTGCTGAGCCTGGGGGTGCTGAGCCTGGGGGTGCTGTGTCTAGGGGTGCTGAGCCTGGAGGTGCTGTGCCTGGGGGTGCTTCGTCTCGCCGGGAGCCACTCTCCCCACAGGAGCTGCGTGAGTGGTTTGCCGGGCGCTGGAGGCGTGCTGCTGGTGCTGGTGGTTCTTCGGCTGCAGAGGGTACTGCTGCTGCGCGCCCCGCCGGCGCTCGTACTGTGGGTGCTGGAGCTGCTGAGTCTGAGAGTTCTCCTGGAGCTGGTCCTGCTGAGGGTGTTGGTGCTGAGCCTGCCGTTGGCGGCCCGACTGACAGTGCTCCTGGTGCTGCGGCTGGAGGTTCTGGAGCTTCTGGTGGTGCTGCTGGAGGTGCTACTGGAGTGGGTGCTCCTGCCGGGGCTGCTGGTGCTGTTCCTGCTGTTTCTAGCGTCGCCGCGCGGCCCCGACCGTACTTCGTTCCGCTCCTGCAGCAGGTTCTTGGTCTTACACCTCCTCCTCCTCCCTTAGAGGGTCCGCAGCCTGTCCGGTCACAGCCACAGCTACAGCCTGCCTCCCCTTTGCCTGCTCCTTCTCCCTACGCTGGTCCGACTGGAGGTCTTACTGAGCGTCGTGAGCCTGCGTCTCGTCCTGTGTCGCCTGTTCGTACTGAGCGCGCTAGTGGTCGCGGGTCGCGTCAGCGTCTTCCTCCTGTCCCTGGCACGCACCGGATGTCACTGCGTCCGTCCACTGCTCCTCTGCGTGCCCCTTTGCCTTCTCCTCCTGCTTCCTCTCTTCCTGCTCTTGCCGACCCGGAGTCGGACGCCCTTCGTGCTGCCAGTCCTACTGTCACGCGTCTCCTGGCTACTGCTGTCACTGACCCCTCCTTCGAGTCGTCTGCTGCGTCTGCCCTTGTCACTGAGCTTGTCGACTTTGCTGCGCGCTGTCGTCTAGACTACGCTGCTCGTCTTGTCACTGAGTCTGAGTCCGCCTGTCCTCCGTCCGTCGGGGGTGAGTGTGCCCTTGGCACGGACGTCCTTGAGGACAGGCAGGAGGAGTTCCAGTGTCTGGCCGCCGCTTCACCTCGTCTCGCGTCTGTACTGCTAGCCCCTGAGGGAGACCCGGATGCACCAGACATCCCGACTCCGCGCTCTTACGCGGAGGCCATAGAGGGTCCCTACTCCTCTCAGTGGCAGGCAGCTATGGATGCAGAGATGGCTTCCTGGAAGTCCACAGGCACCTACGTTGACGCTGTTCCCCCTCCTGGGGCGAACATTGTCAGTGGCATGTGGATTTTCAGGGTGAAGCGGCCGCCGGGTTCTCCGCCTGTCTTCAAGGCGCGTTACGTGGCTCGTGGCTTCAGTCAGCGGCAGGGGGTTGACTACTTTCAGACCTTCTCCCCCACCCCGAAGATGACCACTCTTCGGGTTCTGCTACACGTTGCTGCTCACCGTGACTACGAGCTGCACTCTCTCGACTTCAGCACAGCTTTCTTGCAGGGCAGCCTGCACGAGGAGATCTGGCTGCGTCGCCCACCTGGCTTCACTGGGTCTTTCCCTCCTGGTACCCAGTGGAGTCTCCGGCGTCCAGTCTACGGTCTCCGCCAGGCGCCACGTGAGTGGCACGACACACTGAGGACTACGCTCGCGGCACTTGGGTTTGCTCCTTCCACTGCCGACCCGTCACTGTTTCTGCGCACCGACACCTCTCTGCCGCCGTTCTACATCCTCGTGTACGTTGACGACTTGGTCTTTGCCACAGCTGACACTGCTGGACTCGCCTACGTGAAGTCCGAGCTGCAGAAGAGACACACGTGCACTGACCTGGGTGAACTGCGCAGCTACCTTGGCTTGCAGATCACCCGGGACAGAGCACGCCGCACCATTACCCTGACTCAGTCACACATGGTGCAGCAGGTCCTTCAGCGCTTCGGCTTCACGTACTCCTCGCCTCAGGCCACTCCTCTGCCTACTCGCCACTCGCTCTCAGCTCTGCCTTCGGATGAGTCCGTAGAGTCGAGTGGCCCGTTTGCAGAGCTTGTTGGCTGCCTCATGTACCTGATGACCTGCACACGACCTGACCTCGCATACCCTCTTAGCATTCTCGCACGCTTTGTTGCTCCTGGGAGACACCGACCAGAGCACATGGCTGCAGCGAAGAGGGTGTTGCGCTACTTGTGCAGTACGTCGGGCATGGGGCTAGTGCTTGGAGGGCGCAGTCCAGTGGTCCTCACTGGGCACGCAGACGCTTCTTGGGCTGACGACCAGGCTACGCAGCGGTCGTCACAGGGTTACACCTTCAGCCTTGGTTCCGGCTCTGTCTCGTGGCGGGCTACCCGCTCGTCTTCTGTTCTCGGCTCCAGTTGTGAGGCTGAGATCTACGCTGGGGCTATGGCTGCACAGGAGTTACGCTGGCTCACCTACCTGCTGACCGACCTTGGAGAGCAGCCTCGTTCTCCTCCAGTCCTGTACGTAGACAACAAGGCCATGCTGGCCTTGTGTCGAGAGCAGCGACTGGAGCACAGAACGAAGCACATTGCTCTTCGTTACTTTCTTGCTCGTGAGCTACAGCAGCGTGGACAGCTGCGACTTGCGTACGTGGCCTCTGAGGCCAACACTGCTGATGTCTTCACCAAGGCACTTGCGCCTTGTGATCATCAGCGTTGCTGCACGCAGTTGGGTCTTGTGCCTGTCTTGCCTCACTTGCTCTCCTCTTGACCTTGCTTGTACTTTCGCATATATATACTCTTGTTCTTGTATATCTCTATATATGATCTTGCATGTGAACTGGCCTTGTGGCCTTTGAACTTGTGCTCGGAATGCGTGGTGACTTTGTGATCCACCCTGAGCTTTGCTTTGCTTTGCTTAACTGGTCTTGTGACCCCTTGTTCTCCCCCACTTTGCCTATGGGGGTGTGTCAGAACTTATAGCTTACTTGTTTCTGTAGGCTATAGTGGGGTATCCCATAGGGGGTACAACCCAATTAGGGTTTCCTATTTGTACTCACTTCGTTCATAGTCATTCCATTCTCGTTCTTTGTTTTCACAGAATTTGCCACGTGGCAGATTCCAGTGGGCGGTCACGTTATCCTCATATACTCGGTTTTGTGGCGCTGGTCAACAATCTTGAAGTGGAGTCAGGCCCCTGATTTTGTTTCACATCTTTTCTACGGTACTTGATAAAAAATATACCATATAATAAGACCCGGGTATTATGTAGGATTTTCCTTTGAGGAGACCCCCCCCATTTTTTCCCAGTGGTTTTCATAATACTCTAGGGTGTTTTATCTGGGAGAATACGGTACTTGAGATTTATGGCCAGTACTACTGACGTAGCTGTCTAAGGTTTCGCCTTACTTGCAAGGTCATGGGGTCAATTCCCATGTGTGAGATGTTGTGAAGTGTATGGCGGGGATTCAAGTACTAAAGCCTCATGCACGCGCACTTTCCTCCCGTACTTAACACATTTTGGTAAGTCCGAATCAGTGTGACTCGGTACACTATATTGATGCTTCAGTGTAACTGGTACACCTATACACTAATTCGTCAGGGTAGTCCTATGCGTTAAACTGAAAAATCAGTGCAAACATAAAGGATATACTGAAATTTCAGGGAAAACAAAAATCACAGCTACAAAATCAGCCTAATCAGCGTGTTTTAGGCTGATATCTGAGGGCCTGGTCACCATCAAAGCTTCATTCATTGCCTTCTCTCAAACTTGGCAGACTTATCCTATCCACTACGATCCTTAGTTATAACAGCACCAACTGGGTGAACTAGGCGAAGTGAACACTCCTATGCACTCTGAAAAAAACAGCACAATCGCATATATTCGGAATTCGGCCTGTCGCCTGTTTGCTTCATACCCGTATTACCAGAAGCCCCATGTAAACAAAACCCAGGGGGGGCTATCCAGACCGGAGGAGGAGCACGTAACAGGCAAGTATAAAAAAGAGACCTTTTACTATACCATTACATCGGATAAAAAAAAGCTTCGACTGTATGTTCCTACACCCATATCATTCGACGGGGCACTCGAGGGACGCGTCCACATCACCTGCTGCTGTCCTTGAACCCCTCAAAAGGCCCTCCCACCCGCCCTTCCCCTTCCTCGCGCTCATCCACCCTTCGCCGCCATGTCTGTCGCCCGCCCCTCCCGCCACCACCACGTGACTCCCTGCCCTGCCCGCCCCCTGCAGACCTCTCCTCCATCTGCCCCCGCCTGCTCCACGTGTCCCTACTTCCACTGCCACCACCACGGCCACCACCACTGCCACTGCCACTGTATGTCCACCCCTCCTCACTCTCTTGGCTGCCCCAACCCTCATCCCCGCTGCTCTCCCTCCCTGAACTTCCTCCTCTGCTCCATCTGCCTCTGCCCTTACTGCTCATTCCTCTGCCTCTGCCATGGCCGCTGCTGCTCGCCCTGGGGTCATCATGCCGTGAACTCACGCCAGAGGCAGCGCCACCACTGCCGGCGATAGAAGAGGCACCAGCAGCATCGGCGTCATCACCGTCGTCATAATCAGCACCGGCAACACCACGAGTAGCACGGCTTCCCATCTCGCCCGCCACACCTGCCGACCGCATGCGTGCCCCCTTGCTCACCACTCCCGCTGCTTCTCCCCCCTCGCCCTCACCATCCAACTGCCCCTCCTCCTCCTGCGTGTCAGCCCCACCTGCACCCTTCTTCCCCGCCTGTGCAGCAGCAGCGAGCCTCTCTGCCTCGTGTGCGTGGCGGTCAGCCTCGGCCTGCTTGCCCCTCACGAGCTCCACCACGGCCGCCAGCTCCACCAGCGGGATGGCACGCGGCAGCATGTTGCCGTACTTGCTGGGGGGGCAGGTAGGGGGTGCCGTGAACAGAACAAAGATGCTGTGAGATCACCAGGGTAAGGTGAGATGACCGCGGTGGGTTGAGATGAATGGGGTGGGGCAAATGCCTTGCTTTCTGCATGGAAATTCTCATAACCAAACATGAGTTCCATCACCCACCCACCCTTCGCTAACCCACCCTCCCATTACCACACCCCCCAGTCGCCCCTTGCCCTCCACTCACCCCTTGCCCTCCACTCACCCCTTGCCCTCCACTCACCCCTTGCACTCCACTCACCCCTTGCCCTCCACTCACCCCTTGCCCTCCACTCACCCCTTGCCCACCACCTCCCCTACGAAGCCTCTCACTCGCTCCAGAGCCACCACCTGATGTGCAGGGTGCAGAGGGGCACACAGGGAGCAGAGGGGCACACAGGGAGCAGAGGGGCACACAGGGAGCAGAGGGGCACACAGGGAGCAGAGGGGCACACAGGGAGCAGAGGGGCACACAGGGAGCAGAGGGGCACACAGGGAGCAGAGGGGCACAAAAGGCATGGAAGGGTAGTGAGAGGCATGGCAGTGCATCGGATGGGGCAGGGAATGGAGGGCGTGGGATGGGCCAAGACGGGGGACGGGGGAGGGTGGGATGGGGCAGGCTGCAGTGAAGCCAACCTGCTTGTAGAGCGCGGAGGACATGGTGCAGCGCACGTAGAGCACACACGGCTCGATGCGCTGCATGCCCGCCCCCGGGGGTGGCGGGGGGCCGCCCTCCTCCATGGCCCCCGCTGCCCGGCGCATTATGCTGGCGTGCTGTGGCGAGCGGATGGCCGGCACGAATATCTGCCATGAGCACATGGCCGTGGGATGTGTAGAGAGGGGAATGAGTGGAGAGAGAGCGGCAGATGCAGGCATGCCAGCAGGTGAGTGGAAGAAGTAGGAAGCAGAGGGGCCATCCTGAATGCACCAACGCATCCTCCCCAGTCAATACAACTCTACTTCCACGCTCTCCACCGTCCCACCCTCCTCTTCCCTCCCTAATCCCTTCCACTCTCATCCCGCTCTGCCCCACTCGCTCAACCCCACCAGTGCACGCACCTCACACGCCTCGCCCGGGCAGTATTGGGCCACGAGGGCGGAGATCTGCTGCTGCGCCTCGAACTCGCCCCCGCGGAACGTGCCCACCTTCCACCACTGCACGCCGCGCACCCTCATCGCCTCCACTGCATCGCCCACCTCCACCTGCTGCTGCTCAGACCCCATTGCATCGCCCATGCTTCCCTTCGCCTCAATCACTTGCCCCTCTCCACCACCCACTGCCACCTCTCCTGCCAACACCCCCCCTTCAGCTCCCCCATCGCCTGCACCACCACCCACTCCTTCCGCCTTTCTCTCCTCCCCTCCCGCCTCCCCAGCTGCCCCCTCCACCTTCCCCGCGTCACCTCCTCCCTCCAGCGCCGGCTTCTTGCGGCGCCCGCCGGGGTTGGCGGGGCGCTTCCTGAGCGGTGCCATGGCGGCCATCACGCGCTCCTCCTGCTGCCGCCTCCGCTGCTGCACCGCCTCGGGCTCCTGGGGGGACAGGGGGGACAGGGGGGACACGGGGGACAGGGGGGACAGGGGGCACACGGGGGACAGGGGGGACACGGGGGACACGGGGGACAGGGGGGACAGGGGGGACACGGGGGACACGGGGGACACGGGGGACACGGGGGACAGGGGTGAGGGGTCGTGTGGATGGTAGTGTGTGAGTCGATGCATGTGTGTGGCGGATGAGAATGGCCCAGCTGCTGCCAACCCAGAGTCTCAAGGGAGCGCACTGGTCTGTCCCGCCCGGCGCCCTCTGCTCCAGCGGCGAGAGCAGGGTGGCTCCACGCAGCCACGCAGCTGAGAGGCGAGGCTACGGTATTCCAGCGCTACCTGCCCACGCATCTGCTAAAACCCGCTCAAACCCCCGCCGCCCAGCCAAGCAGCCTCGCAAGCCGCTCACCATCAGCCGCAATCGTCGCTCCTGCCGCCGCTTCCGCAATTCCTTCCGCGACAGCCCGCCCTCACCCTCGTCGTTGCCCTCACCGCCGTCGCTGCCCTCCCAGCCGTCGCTGCCCTCGCTGCTCTCGCTACGCCCCCTCCCGTGCGCGGTGCCACCCTCCGCCTCCACCAGCGCACCCATCGCACGGTCGCCCTCGCTCTCAGCAGACCCCGCCTCCGCCGTCGCCGCCACCACGGCCCCCGCTATTGTCACTCTCTGCCTGGAGCCGGCCGGGGTGGCTATCAGAGCGACTGGACGTGGATCGGCGCGGCCCAGAGACGAGAGGCATCGCGACGGGCGTTGCGCTCGGACAGCGGCGGAGAGGGTGGGTGCGACGCGTGAGTGCGGATGGCAGGCGAGCGGCAGCGCGGAGGCGACGTGGCTGCTCGGCGCGACGCGGTGCGACGACGGCAGAAGCGGCCGCGGCGTGTAGCAGAGGGGATGACGGGCGGCGAGGGAGGACGAGGCGCGAATGGCCTCCATGAGGGCGGAGCAACTGTGGCTTCGCGATAACGTTATGTGGTGTGGTGCTGCGTTTCAGTGTGGGTTTTTGCATTTAAGCCTCAATTTTAGAATCCTAGTTTGCAAACTTAGGATTGAGGGCAATTGAGAGCTCTTAGTGCAATTGAGAGCTCTTAGTGCAATTGAGTGAGCGCGCGAGGATTGCAGTATCTAAGAAAGAGAACAATAAGCAAAGGCATGAGCGAAGTATATATAGCGAAACTACAGTGGTAACGGTAATACGTGGAAAATGGGGCGCGCGACGGGCCTAGCGCCGAGGTTGGGAATCGTCGAGGCGGAGGTCCGGAGCGCGGGTTACCAACCGAACCGTGAGGTTGGGCTGCGTCGTGAACAGTGGCAGGAACAGTGGTCGAGGCGAGTGTCGCGAGTGGTAGCGGCTTACTGTTGGGTGCTGTTGGCGAGAACGGTGTTGTACGCGCTGAGCAGGGACGCGAAGTAAGGAAAAGGGGAATTTCCTTACACTACCCCCACCCCCCCCCTGAGGCTCTCCTTACGAAAGCGCGTGTACATCCCGGAAATTGCGGCTGCGCAGGTTCTCAATGAGGACGGGGTGGTTTTCAATTCTGTCCAGGGGAACCCAGTTGTCTTCAGTGGGCGTGCGGTCTTACCAGCGGATCAGAAATTCAATCCGGTGAGCTCCTCGTGGGTCTCGAACTCGGTGGCTTAGGATTTTCTCCGGCGTGATAATTGGTTCTGTTGGTGGTCGTGTCATACTGGTGTTGGAATTAGGAGGTCGCTAGAGTAGCGGAAATACTCTAGGAAATAACGACGTCCCAGCGGCGGGGCTATGGTCACTCAGAGGTAGCTCTCCTGGCTTGTAACTTGGTGCCAAAGCGGCGGCCGAGGGTAGGCCGGACACAAGCTTGAGAATTGTGTAATGATAGCATGGCAGTACATTGAGTTATATAGGAAACATAGCAGGGAGGCAGTTACCAAGGCGCAACTGTATTACAGTTGCGCTGTAACGTTTCAGTTGCCCAGTTACTGGCGAGACCTTTCAGCTTCGGCAAGGGCGCGGTATTCTGCCGCGCCTCCAGGGTGGTTACGCGTACTGTAGACGCTGCCTCTTGCGGAATTCGACCCTTCGGCTGCCACGCGGGTCGCAACCACTGTACGCGGTTGCGCCCCTGCAGTTCGATACTCGAGTCAACACCCCCGATATTGAGGGCTTCGATTCTGCACTTCGAACAGTGCACTGCAAGATAAATAACACACAAATATATTTCCAACAACTGGCGGGGCGGTTACGAGGCAGCTGGCTGGTGGATGGAACGTATGGGCGAAGCAGGCTGACGTGGAATGACAAGCTTACATATCACTCAGCAGGGAGGAGGAGGTGGGCGGTAACGGGAGTGATCGTATGGCTTATGCGAAATGGCCCACAATATCGGGAGCGGAGTTTCTGGTGTCAAATTATATGCATGTCATATATGTGTAGGCTGTAGTGGGGTAGCCAATATGGGGTACAAACCCATTAGGGTTTCATATTTGTACCAAACCCTGATCTAGTCAATTCATCCCTGCTACTAGATTCTAAAATGGTTTCAGAGCACTAGGTCCTTAGGACCGTCTTTTTTTTCCGGGCCCACCTACCGTTGCGGTTACCACGCTACCCCACGTGTTGTCCTACGCGCGCCTTCCCCTGCCTTGCCTTGTGACGTGCTGCGCTGCGCGCGCCGTCCTGCAGCCCTCGCGCTGCCTACTGTTGCCCTAGCTACGCGCGCACCGCCCTGCGGACCCTTAGGCCAGCAGGCCGCCCCTGCAGGCCCGTAAGGCCAGCGCGCCGCCCCTGCAGGCCCGTAAGGTCCGGGCGCCGCCCCTGCAGGCCCGTCAGGTCCGCGAGCCGCCCCTGCAGGCTCGTCAGGCTAGAGCGCCGGCCCGCCCTGCAACCGATGCGGCCCCGCCAGGCCGCTGTTGCGGCCCCGCCTTGCCGCTGACGCGGCCCCGCCCTGCCCCTGACGGGGCCCCCCTGCCGCCGACGCGGCCCCGCTAGGTCGCTGTCGCGGCCCCGCCCTGCCGCCAACGCGGCCCCACCAGGTCGCTGTCGCGACCCCGCCCTGCCGCTGACGCGGCCCCGCCCTGCCGCTGTCGCGGCCCCGCCCTGCCGCCGACTCGGCCCCGCCAGGTCGCTGTCGCGGCCCCGCCAAGTCGGTGACGCGGCCCAGCCCTACCGCTGTCGCGGCCCCGCCCTATCGCCGACGCGGCCCCACCCTGCCGCTGTCGCGGCCCCGCCCTGCCGCTGTCGCGCCCCCCCGAGGTCGCCGACGCGGCCCCGCCCTGCCGCTGTCGTGGCCCCGCCCTGCAGCCGACATGGCCCCACCCTGCAGCAGCTACCGCGGCCCTGCCCTGCCGCTGTTGTGGCCCCAACCCTGCAGATGACACGGCCCTACTCTGCAGCCGCTGTTGCGGCCCCGCTGTCGCCGCCGTCGTGCGCCAACCCTGCCGCCACCCGCCACTGGTGAGCATCTGCCCTACCCGCGCGCCTGCTCTATTAGCGCGCTGCCGCGCTATCTGCCTGCCTGCCTGCCTGCGGCGCCTGCCCTGCTCGCGCTGCTCCTACTACTACTGCTGCTACTTCTGTTACTGCTGCTAGGCTGCTACTACTGCTACTGCTGCTACTGGCGGTGGCCAAATGCAGCTCCAGCGACGTCCGCGCGAGTCTCTCACGCCCCAGCAGCTTCGTGAGTTGTACGCTAGTTGGGGTTGTGGCGGTAGCAGTCGTGGCTGTCGCCCTGGAGCTGGTCAGTAGGGAGCGTCTGGCAGAGGCCAACTGCAGCTGCAGCAGTGTTCGCGCGAGACACTTACGCCCCAGCAACTTCGTGAGTGGTACGCTCAGAGTAGAGGGGCTCGAAGTACCGTTCGCTGCCCGTACGTCATTCGCACAGGCGATCGGGCTGGTCAGGCTTGCGGGACGCTTGCTCACACATAGTCCCGCTGCTTCGCCCGTCTGAGCGACGCCTGGCATACCGAGTTTGGCGACGAAGCTGAGCTCCCCACCTGGCTGGAGCTGCTTAGGCAGAGGGTAGATATCTTTGCTCTTGACTATGATGCTATTATCACTGCCATATATGCATTGCCTACTAGTGCTGACAGTACCTCTTACCTGTGCGTACTGCCTGACCCAGGTATAGAGCCTGCTGCTCTAGGTGCTGGTGAGGGTGCTGCTCTAGGTGCTAGTGAGTCTACTGCTCCAGGTGCTGGTGAGTCTGCTCTCTCTGGTACTGCGCCTGCTGAGGCCTTGTACACCTTCATACTTGACTCAGGTGCTTCCCGCTCCTTCTTTCGCGACAGCACCGCCCTCACGCCGCTCAGTCGGCCGGTTCCAGTCTCCCTGGCAGACCCCTCTGGGGGTCTAGTCCTTGCGCACTCCTCCACGGTCCTGCCGTGTCCGGTGGTCCCGTCTGACTCCCTGTCTGGTCTTCACCTCCCTTCGTTCTCTACGAACTTGGTGAGTGGTGCTGACCTCCAGGACCAGTGGGTAGACCAGTTCACTCCTGGAGGTCAGCACGTGACCCACTGTACGTGCTCCCGGATAGGCCGGCACCTGGCCACGTTTACCCGTGCGCCTGGCTCGAGTCTGTATATACTGACTACTGTGTCCCCTCAGGTCGTTCCATCTGCGTCTGCGTCAGGTCAACTAGTGGCCCCCTACTCGTGTCGCGCTTTGTCGCACCAGACCCTCTTGTGGCACCACCGTCTTGGTCACCCCTCGGTGCAGCGCCTTCGTAGCATGCACCACCGTGTCCTTGTCTCTAGTCTTCCCAGGGCTCTCCCTCTCCTCCCACCCTCGCCTGCTCCTCCATGTCTTCCCTGTGTCAAGGGGCGGCAGCGCGCCGCTCCTCACTCCTCCTCGTTTCCCCCGACGACTGCTCCCCTGCAGACCCTGCACATGGACGTGTGGGGCCCAGCCCGCGTCAGAGGGCAGGACCGTGAGCGGTACTTCCTGCTGGTTGTTGACGACTACTCGCGTTACACCACGCTCTTCCCCTTGCGCACCAAGGGTGAGGTCCCTGATGTTTTGATCCCTTCGATCCGCGCTGCCCGTCTCCAGCTCCGCGAGCGGTTCGGGACGGAGTTTCCCGTCCTGCGTTTGCATTCTTACAGAGGTGGGGAGTTTTCCTCCGACCTTCTGTAGAGCTTTTGTCGTGGGGAGGGCATTCGGCAGACGTTCACGCTTCCGGCCTCTCCGCAGCAGAATGGGGTTGCTGAGCGCCGCATTGGCTTGGTTATGGAGGTCGCTCATACCTCCATGGTCCATGCCACTGGCCCCCATTTTTTGTGGCCATTTGCGGTCCGCTACGCCGCGCATCAGCTCAACCTCTGGCCCCGTATCTCCTTGCAAGAGACCTCACGCACACTGCGGTGGACGGGGGAGGTTGGCGATGCGTCAGTGTTCTGGATCTGGGGTTCTCGTGCCTTTGTCCGCGATACCACCGCGGACAAGCTCTCCGCCCGCGCTATTCCCTGTGTCTTCCTTGGCTTTGTCCCTGACGCGCCTGGTTGGAAGTTTTACTACCCCACCTCGCACTGTGTCTTCCCCTCTCAGGACGTCACGTTCGACGAGTCGGTTCCCTTTTACCGTCTTTTCTCCTACCGCACTACCCCTCTCCCCCCCCCGCCGCTCTTCCTCGTTCCAGGTAGACCCCCTCCCCGCTCCCGGTCCTGCTCCTTCAGGCGTGTCTCAGGTAGACCCTCCTCCCTTGACTGCGCCGGTTGAGGTCACTGGTGACTCAGTTCCTGCTGAGGGTGATCCTGCTCGGGGTGCTACTTCTGGGGGTGCTGAGCCTGGGGGTGCGGAGCCTGGGGGTGCTCAGCCTGGGGGTGCGGAGCCTGGATGTGTTGAGCCTGGGCGTGATGAGTCTGGGGGTGCTGAGCTTGGGGGTACTGAGTCTGGGGGTGCTGCACCTGGGGGCGCTGAGGCGTCTGATGAGCAGTCTCCCTGGAGCGGCCGTCTCCGTAGT